GCAATTCTGATATTTGCATTTTATGCCTCCTGATCCCCACAACTCACTGCTTTTAGTTGCATCGTGGTGAATGCCTGTCAAATATATACCAGATCAGAGCTTGCTCCAAGGCTTGCACTTGGACCTGTTGAAAAACATCCATGGGCTTCAATGGACTGCATCAAAGCAGCTCCCATTCCTCAGACCATAACATTCCTTATTGGCAGCCGAGGGCTGAATGGATGCATGGAGCTCTGTGTCTCATTGCTTCCTGCTCCCCTGAGCCACCCTCTTCCCATCATTATGCACAGAGCATTGATTCAGCAGAGGACTCATTGCTTGCTAAATAAATATCAAGTAGCTGGGAAGCACACATGGGTTGAGGTAATGGAGGCAGCGTTCTTAAGCAAGCTAGTTAGGTGCTGATGATATTTACAAACCGACGCTGGGATGTAAAATAACCAGCTCTGTGCAGTATGAATGGAATTATTGCATTGGTTGCCATTCAGATCTCTTTCTTTGCAAAGGTGATGCCCTCTCAGCCTTTAAGGGCAAGGTAGGAGTTGCAGGCTGGACCATATTTCCCAACCACATTCTATCTCAGAAAACACATTTAATTGTAAACTCCATTAATGTTGTTCTCTCTGTCACCCCCCTCCCCGGCCAACTCCCTTCCCTCTCCCTTTCTTCTCTCCAGCCCCTCAACATACAAGCCTTTCAGGGAGCAAATCGAGCCTGGCAATTATGCAAAGTGTTAAAGAGAGTATTAAACCAAGAGAGATTTCCACTGAGGATGTTGCTGCTCGGCAAACAGAAACACAAAAGCAGTCAGCAATTTGCCTGTTGGATAAAGGCATCTATTTACAATGTACTTGGAGCCCTTAGAAATTATCTGAAGAGAAATCAGTTTGTTATTTTTCTTCCTTTGCCCCTTTTACAAAAAAGCAAATGAAAAGATTTTAAAATTGCTTCTAAAGAAAGGGCTTGGCCTCTGCTTCTAGGAGATGCCAGCAGTTCTTCCTAAAGCAGTTCTACCCTAGCTTCTTCCATTATTATTATTAGTATTACTTGCTTGTGTGTTTCATGCACTGATTCATCACCATCTCTCCTGTCCCTTCCAATAATTTATTATTGCTGCCAGAATGCTTATTTTTGTCTTTTCCACTAGGATAGACTTAAGATTGCAAGCACATTGGGCTAGGGGCTGTTTGTGGTACTACAAAGAACTAGTTAGAATAATCCAACACCAAGTTTTCATCTAAGGTGAGAAGATACAATAGGGGGGGTGTACTCTTTGCTAAAAAAATAATAATAATAAAAAATTCTGCAATCAAAATTTTGTGCCAAAAGTAGCTGAATTCTGCAACCTGTATAAATTCTGCAATTTGAATGTGTCTAAATGTCTTCCTTCCTTCCTTCCTTCCTTCCTTCCTTCCTTCCTTCCTTCCTTCCTTCCTTCCTTTTCTTTTGGCATATTTTATTCTGCTTCTCCTAGTCATGGGGAATGGCAAATTGCTATTGGGGGAGGGGGCCACTGAAGTTCATGAAATCATATTTAACACCACTTCACTTGCTACTGCAATAGTAGACATTGGCTTAGAGGGCTTTAAAAGACGACTTGACAAATTAAGGGTGCATCATTGACTATCAACCATGATATCAAAAATGGAACCTGCACATTCAGACGCAATATACTTCTAACTTGAGGTCTGGGGGGGGGGGGTTGGGGGGGCAACAGGACTCTGGTTCTTTGAGAGCATCTGGTTGGCCATTGCATGGACCATTGGTCTGATCCAGGAGGCTCATTTTATGTCCTCTTGCTTCTTCTCACTTTTTTTTTTAACAGAAGCCAGGCAGGTGCCCCTGGGAAATTCAGCATCCTATCTTTTAGCCCTTGATGACCCAGAAAGGAAAAGAAAAATCTTCTTGACCTTTACAGGCTACAAAAACAGGGGCACCAGAAATCAAAAGCCTGCAGGAAAAATAATTCACCCTGTGGATTTTTTTTTCCTGGGTGGGATGTACCAGTGTAAGCATCTAACACACTTGTCCAAAAGACTGATGATAAATTTCAGGAAGATATTCTCTAGCTAGCCAGGTCATGACTTAAGCTTCATTTTTCCCCCTTTTCCAATTCTTATCCTCTCCCCTCCTTCTCGCTCTCGCTCTCTTTAAAAAACTGCTTATATATTTCTGTTGTGCTGAAAACCTTAACAAAATATCAGTTCTAAACTAAGGTAGCAATGTCTGCTGGAACCTGCAGTCAGTCAGAATAATAGCTCTGGGAGATATGAACCGTACCATTCATCTCAATCGAGAACAGTTCCATTTAGAATTGGGTCCTTGGTTCTGGTGTCCTGTGGAAAAAGTCTTGGATCTAATTTTGGTTCAGCTATGCTGGGCCCGGCCCCTCCATAGGCTGTTGCAGTGGGTAATTACTTTTGCTGTTCAATATTTGTGCCCTATTTCTGGGCTGGAATTCAATTTCCCTCTTTGCTTGTGTTCCTCTCCCTCCCTCCCTTATCTCGCTTGCATTTTATGAAGTTCTCATTTGGAACTGAGCACCGACCTCAGCAAGAAACTTTGGCTCCCATAGACAGAGCAGCACTAATCTTGTGTGTAATTGAATTGTCTCTCTGGATAATATTTGGCTGCTTTAGAGAGCACAATCATTTTTATTTGAGCTTGGATTTTACTTCATCACTTGTAAACACTGTAAACAGGAAGGGTATGTTTTCCTTCGCTTACAAGGATTTTCTTCTTCTTCTTATTATTTTTTGACACCCTGCTCTCTGAAATCCAGTTTTCAGCTTGAGTAAGGTATGGGCCACAGCATCCAGTGGAAACATTCTTAAATTCCCTCCAGAAGAATGTGGAAATGAATATGTCATTTGAAGGGCCTTAACAGTTCCATTTATCTATGCCAGGGGTGGCTGTTTCATTGGGGCAAAAGGGGCACTGCCCCACCAGCCTCAGTCTGCCTTCATCCAGGCCCCACTTGAAACCAACTCAAGGAGGGGCACTGCCTGGCAGATTCCTCCTCCTTAGTTCCTGTTGCACTCAAAAGGGAGGATGATGGGGACAAAACTAGGACTGGCTGCCTCCAATGGCCACTGGCTCTGGCTCCACCTACTGTTGACCTCCTTGCCTCCTGCCCAATCAGTCCCAATGGGCACCAGTCACTACTGGTGGTGGACAAAAGGTAGATTGGGATTCATGGGGAGATTACTGGATGATGCTCAAGGATTTCTGATTCTTGATTGGCTAACAGTAGCAACAACAAAAACATATCTTTCCAAGTGCTCATCAGCACTTCCATTTGCTCCTCTGCTTTGCCCCAGAAAAAAACCCATGTGGTTTAGCACTCAATTGGAACAAACTGCAATCAGGTTTTCTATGGATTGCCATTTGTTCTGAATCAGCACTAAAGACTGGGTTTTCCAGGGGAAAGTGGCAGGACAAAGACAAAAATGCTCGGACTCATGCCTATTTTATTTATACTCTGCCCATCTGCCTGGGTTGCCTCAGCCACTCTGGGCAGCTTCCAATATCTATAAAAACATAATCAAATATTAAACATGAAAAAACTTTCCCATAGAGGGCTGCCTTTAGATGACTTCTAAAGGTTGTATAGTTACTTATCTCCTTGGCTTGGGGGGTCACACGACTCCATACCATCCAACATTTCTCTGGTGAAAATAGGGACACCCTAAGGAAAACTGGGGCATTCCAAGATCAAATCAGAAACAGGGACAGCTTCTGGTAAATGTGGGACTGTCCCTGGAAAATAGGGATACTTGGAGGGTCTGTAATTGACATTCAGTGATGCGCTCTCTTTTTTCTTTGGCCCTACTCACTGCTGGCTTGCGATCCCTGGAAGGTTACTAGAAGGAAATGTAGCCCAAAGGCTGAAAATGACTGCCCGCTCAACTGTAAATAATATATATTGTTTAAATTAAGAAAATTGTAGCAGGAGCGCTAATCTGATCCAATTTAGAATGAGCTGTGACCCAGTTTGGGCCAGTGGAGTAGTTGGGCCTCATTTGGAAACTGTGATCTAACAAGGCCACTCTTATGTTAATCCTTTGGATCCTGAAAGTCAGACTATTAACTCTCCTTCCCTGAAATACGTGGGCACTAAGTTCAGCACGCAAGCTCCCAGCTGAAAGGATTTGCTCCCTTGTGTATGCATGGATAAAGGAGCCTGCTCAAATATAATGTGCTTTGATCCGTCACTCTTTTATTGCAGCTTACCTCTGAAACGCAGTGTGGGGAGGAGGCTGCAGGGGTGCCAGAAAGGTCTTAGCACCTGGCAGAGGTTGCAAGGAAGAAAGGGGGATTTTGTTAACTCTTGGTATCACCTGCAATAACTTAGCTTATTGGCACCAGCTTCTCAAGAGGACTAAATAAAGTAAAAATAAATAGAGGGGAAAGCAATATAAGCCAGTTAGAGAAGATCAGTTGTGAATTGAATAATTCATTTCAGAGAGAAAGCGCTATTAGACATGTCAGTCTTATCTTGATTGTATTTATAGACAGGAACTTTTGACAAGGAAATTGCCTGTAAACTGTTTTCTTATTATTTCCCCCCCTGTACTGCCAGGGAAATAATCAGAGAACATATTTTCTTCAGCCTTTGAAAGGGATGAGAACATTTTATGGGTTTCTGGGCTGAACATGACCTGTGGTGACCTTTTCCCAACCCCAATGGAAGCAGGTTCTTTGATAGAAAAAGCACCTGTCCAGAACATGGGAGTGCAAAACAATATGTAGTTCATCTATTTCCATGGATTCAGTCAAAGCCTGGCAGAAATAAGGCTATAGAAGAACCTATATCCTATGAGCAGGGTTGTTGGGTAGGTACTGCAATTGTGTGGGAGCATGGGGAAAAGATGCAGAATGTGGTAGTGGGTATGGGACCATAGCATCACAGATCAAGAAATTCTATTACCATAGAGTTGTAGAGATGGAATGGACCATGACAGTCATCTAGTTCAACCCCTGACAATGAATGACTCTTTTGCCCAACATGGGGCTCCAACCCACAACCCTGAGATTCAGAGTCTCATGCTCTACTAACTGAGCTATCCCTTGGTCATCTAGCTCAGTGTGGGATCTGTGATGCTGGGTGCAACTATGACATCACTGGGAGATGGCCATCCAGCTTCTGCTTGAATGCTTCCAGTGAATGAGAGTTTACTTCCTCCTGAGGCAAGCTTCTCCACTGTTGAACAGCTCTTTCAATTAAGAAGTCTCTCCTATTGTTTAGTTGAAACCCTGCTTCCTTGCAATTTCCACCAGTTACCAAAAGGCTTAGTTCAGCTGGAACTCTGAACATGCGCCAGGACTATTTAACTATTTTGGCTTTGCTCTGTACAATGACTTATTTCTCTCCAACCCTTATAGCCCCCACCCCTTATGACGGATCAAGGCAGCATGCAAAGAGAGCAGCTTAGGAAATGATGGCTCTGACCATTTTCGCTATTCTCGGTTTCTCATTTTTCCAGCCTTAAATTCATTTCTCCACATTTCTGCAGCAATTTGTGGATTTATTCATCAGCATTTGAGTGCAAAGTTCTCCTAATAGACACATTTTTGTATGCAGTTTTGACTAATATATACATCTTTGCAAGCAATTTTCCCTAATGTAATGCATTATTGAATGTCATTTTCACCAATATATACACACATTTTCCCCAAATGTATGCATTTTTATGCCCTCTTTAGTTACAGAACTGTATTACAAAATTGGAAGATGTGCTGATTTCAAAAGGATAGTGGTGTTTCCGTTTGTGTATTGCTTCAAGCAGCGAGAATTAGGTAGTTTCTCATTAAAATACAGACAAAATGTAATTTTTCCTGCATCCCTCAGGCAGCTGTAACTATTTCTTACTAATCAATCTCAGGTTTTGCATTAGTCCTAGAGACAAAAGACTTTCAGGGGAAATAGCTGTCAATTACGTTGTCTTTGCTAGACTGGGAGCTTATTAACTGTTTGCCATGTTTTCCTTCCTGCCTCTGTATCTCTCATTTCCCATGACTCCTGAACTGAAAAGCAATACAGTGCTCATGCCTGCTTATAGGAATCAGACTACCAGATTGATCTTACATCTGCTGCCTAGCCATGGTATGCTTCTCCAGCCCGGTAGGGCCCAGCATGGATTAGTACATCGCTGAAAGCTGAACATCGGGGGTAGGCAACCTAAGGCCTGGGGGCAGGATGCGGCCCAATCGCCTTCTCAATCCGGCCTGCGGACAGTCCGGGAATCAGTGTTTTTACATTAGTAGAATGTGTGCTTTTATTTAAAATGCATCTCTGGGTTATTTGTGGGGCATAGGAATTCATTCATCCCCCCCCCAAAAATATAGTTTTCAGCCCCACGGCTGAAAAAGGTTGCTGACCACTGCTGAACATGATGACAAATGTCAGAGCTGTGAGCTCTGCCTTTGTGCTTGACTCATGGTGGCCAGACAACACCAAGGCACCAAGGCCAGTACAGTGGAACCAAGGTTCTCAAACTTAATCTGTTCCAGAAGTCCGTTCGACTCCCGAAAAAGTTCAAAAACCACGGTGCAGCTTCTGATTGGCGCGGGCGCCCCAGAAACAATAACCGACAGCTGCATTGGCCGTTCAGCTTCTGAAAAACGTTCAAAAACCAGAGCACTACTTCTGGGGCTTTGGCATACGGGAGCCGATTTGTTCATCAACTAAGCCATTCGAGAACCAAGGTTCCACTGTAGAGGAGCATGCTGGAGGACTCTGGTGTTGCATTCCCATTCTGCTTAATTCAGAGAGAATAACACTATGACAAGGTGAAGAGCATCAGTGCAGAGCATCCTCCTTGAAGCAGTGATGCTGCATTCACCAAGACACGAATGAAGTGGGGCAATGCAGCAACTAGGTTGGTGGAGGTTTGTGAGGTGGTGCCCCAGTCACCTTAATGAGCAATCCTCCACTGCCTGCATTGTACCTGGACTCCTGCTTTCTGACACATCCTGTGCTCTTACAAGTTACCAGATGTAGGATCCACCTGCTATTAATGATGCTTCTGCTTCTTCAGACACTCCTGTGAGCTTCCAACCTTTAGCAAGGCTCTTCCCTTTGAACCTTCCTGCTTCTTCTACTGACGACAGTCTGCCACTTGGATCTTCATTCTGCTAAAAAGCTTTGCCCGTGGCTCTAGTCCTTGGCAATATGCCTCCCTTATGGAGCTGATGTGAACTAAGAAGAAAGGAACATCAAGACAGATTTCTCTTCCAAAGAGCCCACACACTCTTGTTAGCTTTGATGGACCCTGATTCCATGACTGAAAGGGAAAGTGATAAGTTTACTGAGCAAAAGAGAAGATGCTTTCTATACAAATGAGCTGTGTTCTTTTGGTGAATTAAAGCTTGTTCTGTTTTTTGTGCTGTTGTTATTTTTTTTATCGAATGGCAAAGACCAATGAGTTGTGTTAGACGAACCTCCCACTTGCACCGAAGGGAAGTTATAATTTGAATGTAACATGAAATGCTTGCAGTGAACTTGATTCTGAGAACATGCTGCAGCTCAGCCTTGTGGATAATTGAGTTTTTGTAACAAAGCCTGTTTGGGGGAAAGAATTTGTTTCGAGAAGAACCTCTTGTTTGTTTAATTTGAATTTCATGCTATTTCTTAGCAACTATATTGTCAACAGCATCGGCATTATTGGGCCTAATTCCTCCCCAGTGCAACGTGGCTGATGACAACACAGTTATATCAGGGTTTGATTTGCTCCGATATGTAGCTTAAGCATTTAATAACCACAGGATGCAGGGGGCATTTATTCAGGCTAATGCGAGCTTCGTGGCTGACTAAAGAGGATATAAGACTTAGCCTTAAAAGAACAAAAGATTCTAAACTCCCACTGATATCCATTAAAAACACACACACATTATAGCATAGCTCTCAGAGTTTCTAATCTGTTTAATATTTCCACTATGCTGAGTCCCTCATTACTGTCAGATCCCTTCACATGTGCAACCACAGACCCTCCAAGTGTCCCTATTTTCATCATCTTGGCTGTTCTCTGCATTCCAGAATGTGGGTAGCAAACCTTTCATCCTTGGGAATATTCTGTTAGGGGTTGTATATATGAAATATTTGAAAGTAATCATAGAATCCTAGAATTGTAGAGTTGGGAGGGACCCTGATGATCATCTAGTCCAAACCTTCTGTAATGCAGGAATAAACAGCTGTCCCATACAGGGATTGAACCTGCAACCTTGGCATTATCAGCACTCAACCAACTGAGCTATAATGTGATTTTTAAAATAAGATCTTGGAAATAACAGTAGACTGGATTCAACTATTTGTTGCTCTTGTGGCAGCTAATTAAGATTCGGGGAAGTATGGAGTAGTAGAAAGAAAGAAAGAAAGAAAGAAAGAAAGAAAGAAAGAAAGAAAGAAAGAAAGGTGGCCATCAGGCAAACTTAAAGGTAAAGGGACCCCTGACCATTAGGTCCAGTCGTGACCGACTCTGGGGTTGCAGTGCTCATCTCGCTTTATTGGCCGAGGGAGCCGGCGTACAGCTTCCGGGTCAAGTGGCCAGCATGACTAAGCCGCTTCTGGCGAACCAGAGCAGCGCACAGAAATGCCATTTACCTTCCCACTGGAGTGGTACCTATTTACTTGCACTTCAACATGCTTTCGAACTGCTAGGTGGGCAGGAGCAGGGACCAAGCAACGGGAGCTCCCCCCATCTCAGGGATTCGAATCACTGACCTTCTGATCGGCCAGCATGACTAAGCTGCTTCTGGTGAAGCAGAGCAGCGCACGGAAATGCCGTTTACCTTCCCGACAGAGCGGTACCTATTTATCTACTTGCACTTTGACGTGCTTTCAAATTGCTAGGTTGGCAGGAGCAGGGACTGAGCAACGGGAGCTCACCCCGGTGCAGGGATTCGAACCGCTGACCTTCTGATTGGCAAGTCCTAGGCTCTGTGGTTTAACCCACAGCGCCACCAGCACTGTGGGTTAAACCGCAAACTTACATAAGTTAAGGCAAACCTATGACTCCCAAATATTCCCACTCAGCCCTGCACAAGTCAGCTAGCAGAGCTTTCTCTGCCACAGGATGGTCAGGATGGGATGCTGAAAATATGAAGACAGAGCCAGCCTTATAAGGTGAAGCACCAGACCTGACATGATTTGGGCTTTGCAAATCTTACTCAATTCTCTTGGGGGCAGATTTTCCCTATCCACATCAACAGGAACAGTCTTCTTCAGAAATAAAATGTAATAAAATATATGGAACTGCGAATGAATCAGACTCACAGGGCTCTGAATAGCCAAACCTCAGTTGTGACTTCATTCGTTTTGCCATTGCCTTGAAGCATTCCATTCTCATAGGGCCAAAGGTGACATTCCCAACAAACTCCACAATGAATCCACACTTGTAAGGAATCAAAAAGGCTAAAAGGGAAAAGAAGTGTCCTTTTCTTGATTTGTGAAAACATTTTGTTTGGTTTCAATATTATGTTTCCTTGGAGAAATGTTGGCACCACTTGAAATAAGAAATGTTAATTAATGAAGGAGGCACTTAATTTAGGCTTAATAGGATAATCCTTTGCTGTGTTACATAAATGCTAATTGAATACTAAGAACATATTAGTGGAGAATTAGCCGCTATGAAACAGAGGCACATTTTTATGGCATTGTTTTTAGTGACTGTGGCAGTCTGACATCTTGCCTCAGATGAAAGCTAAGAGGGGATGTCCACACTCTTCCTTCTCAGGTAAAAAGGGGAGGGGGGAATCGAGAATGGTTGGAGCTATTTCTAGGGCCACAACATTTAATTGCAGGTTTTCCAAATTATTAAAAAGAGTCCCTGATTAATTGGACACCCTTGTAGAAATGGAATCCCTCTTCACTCTCCCACCTTCTGAAATGGCACCTTGCCTTGGCTTTCCCCAATCCTGCACTTGGGCAACAAAACAGAGAGAAAGAGTGACATGCAACTCAGAGCTCTCCTGTGTTGTCTGCCTGCAGGGACAGCCCAAGACATTTTGCTGCGAGAGGGAAAATGGAAGATGGCCGTCTCCCACAAGTCAAGTACTCAAGACCAGGCTATCCATTT